TCGTCCAGGGGTACCAACCACCACATGCTGTCCCTGCTCTAGTTTAGCAATGTCACTTCTAACGTTAGTACCACCAATACACGCATGACACAGAATGTCCTGGTAATCACCAAGAGCTATAACAACCTTTTGAATCTGAGGGAGAGAGAGAGAGAGAGAGAGAGAGATGGGTGAAGTTTGGTGATAATGAGAAAGGAGAGAGTGAAAGAGGAAGAGATGGAGATAATCAAAATAGTGACAGGAAATGAATAGATTCATCAAGCAATTCTTGGAATCATCTACGTGTATATTACACAATATACACATAGAGTCATCAGCTACATGTACAGTACACGCATAGAGGAAAAAAGTAAGGAAACATAGGTATGTCTATAAACGACCATTACATAATTCTCTAATACATGGTACATGTATATGGGATTCAGTACTATACCAGGGCTGTGTATTTGTAAAACAGCCCCTCACTCTTTCTCTATCATACACACACACACAAACTATCTCTCTTTCAGGACACCTGTTGGGCCAGTTCTCGTGTTGGTGCCAAGATGAGTGCCTGACAGGATTGCTTCTTTTCATCAATGGTCTGTAGTATTGATATAGCAAATGTAGCTGTCTTCCCAGTACCAGACTGAGCCTGAGCAATGACATCATGACCTGAGAAGAGAGAGAAGGAGAGGGGAAGGAGAGGGAGAGAGAACAATATACATGTACACGTAACAATGTACTTTACCCTTTATGCATGGGATTATGGCACGCTGTTGAATTGCCGAAGGCTTTTCAAAACTATAATAAGAGAGAAAGAGAGAGAGAGAGAGAGAGAGAGATCAATGTGTACTTACATGTCAAAGTACATGTACATGCATGTAAGACTAACCCATAAGCATATATCCCACGTAATAGCTCCTCTTTCAAGTTCATGTCATCAAATTTCTCCACAACCTCATCCCAATTACTCTAAAAACAATAAGAGACATAACGGACATACAACAAAGGGACAGGGTACCTCAATAAGGCCGGGGTCCATTCGACCCCCGTAATCCAGGCCGTCTTGACTATAACAAAAAAATAAAGTAATTTTTCAAGTAGTACTATCCCATGGGATGACAGTGAGACAGTTTTAGTAAGAGAATAAGGGATAGTTATCAATCCTTACCCGTCTCCTCCTCCTTCTCTTCTACTTTCTTCAGCCATGTTGAGTTGAGCACATGCACCACATGGAAATTGCGTTGGCGGGTTGCGCATGCGCAGTTTGCTTCAAAATGGCCGCCAGCTCATAGGTCCCTCCAAACTCCTAATATTTTAGCTCCAATTTAGTGGTAAGACTATTGTCAAATGTAGAATTTATCTTGTATAATGAATTGTTTTGATTGCAATGGTAATTTGTTTTTTATTTACTTTGAGACATTAAAACTTAATTATTTTTTGTTTTCTTTTACTTCATTCGTCACAAGTTATTTTTTTATTATTAATCATTATTTTTGTCTTTCTCATTACACAATTATATTCTGCATTTTTTGAAAAATTATTTAAGATTTAAATTTTAGTTTAATTATTCCAGGCTATCATGCAAAGAAAGATTTCCCTTGCTTTTGAATCAGCAGACGAGAACAAGAAAGGCTATCTCTCCAAAAGAGATTACAAAGTTGCAATTATCGAATTGTTTGGATACAAACCCTCAAAATACGAAATAAACAGTTCCTGGAAAGAGAAAGCAGGGGACGAAGAGACTGGACTTGACCTCAAAGCATTTAGTGATCTGGTTCTTCCCAGATTGCAGGCGCAGGACTCTTCTGAGATTATACGTCAGACTTTTATGGCTTTCGATCGCTTCTCACGAGGATTCATATCACTAGAGGATTGTAAAGACGCTTTTGCAAAGGTACATTGTACATGTACGTACGATCATGGAGAATTCTTTCCTTTTTATTTTTGACTGATGAAATTTGGCGGGCATGGGTTTTTGGTCCAATTTTTGAGTGCCTTTACAAATTCATAAAAAATCCAAATTTGATCAGAATCAACTCAAACTTTACACACAACATAAGAACCTGTATATGTATCCGCTGAAGAGTATAAAAATGGAAAATTCCCTCCTTTGGCAAAATTTGGCCTGAGTACAGGGACTTTACCTAATTTTGGAGCAACATTAGTAAATTTGTTTATAAATTCAAGTTTGATCAAAATCTGCTCAAACTTTCTACTCAACATAAGAAGATTTTTATGCATCAGATAAAATTATAAAAATGGAGAATTCTCTCCTTTTCATTTCTGGCGAAATTTGCATACAGAACGTGTACAATAGTACTGGGACTTTCACAATCTACAACTATAGAAGCTACATAATGCAAAGATAATGTAGCTTTTTGACTATCTGCAACAAAAGCAGCATGAGTGCTATGCAAAGAAACCCTGAGTGTAGCCCCTCAATGCTCTCTGTTTTATAGCACATGTACTGTACCTAACTGTATCATTCAGTCTGTATGTACATGTACATGTAGTGTACATTTCATTGCTAGGTGGCTCCACTGATACCTTGTAGCAGAGTAGAGTCCTTCTTTCAAGAGATTGATGGTGATTTAGATGGACGTGTCACTTATAGAGACTTTGAGTTAATGTTTAAAAACTTAACAATTTTATCATCATTTTCACAATAAATATTAACTTAAATTATTATTTTGCTGATATAATACAATTGTAGGTATCAAAAAGAGGGAGTGGGATGGATAAACGAGAGAGGATTTAATACATGTACATTGTTTGGGCTAGTGCACTTTTTCTTGAGTCTCTGTTTGACTTAACTGTACCCTCTATTTCAATGAGTACTATATTATACTATATATTATATACTATAGCTTACTTTATTCAACTACATACTGCTAGCTGTAAGCAACTTTTATATAGATCCTTCATTTATGGTACGTAAGGAAGTACCTTAAAATTGTTATAAATTTTTATGGATCATGACCCTCTTCAATAATGAATTTTTTATTATGTGAAAGACGCTCAATGCATGTACACTGTACATCATGGTGTACTTGTAGGAGTTTGAGTAAAATGTGAATGGAGTGTTCACTTCATTAATTTTGCATTCCAATGATTGTGTCAACAAGTGGCTAGTTCATTTATTCATGATTTTTTGTTATGTCAATGATTATAATTAAAGAAGACCTCAAAGTGAGAAGGAATTTCCTTTAATAATATTTATTATTGAATTGTATTATTCACAATTCTGCTTGTTTTTGTTTTTTGAAGAACAGTATTGTTACAGTCCAGTTGTGCCACACTCAATCTAAGCATGGAGCCTACTAGCTCATTTAATGTACATGATGGAGACATCATTCAGCTTTACTGTTCATTTGAGTCTGGATATGTGTATGGTGCACCTAATAGGTAAGAAGAGTATAATAGCTCGTCATTGCAATTGTATTGATGTGTCAGGCCTAGAAAACGTGACCTGGAGTTGGATATTGTTAGTAAAGAAAATATCAAAGTTACTGATTGTGAGACAAGATTTTGAGTTCATGCGTGTATTTATGCCACCACTTCTCTTTTAGTTGCCACATTTAGTATCACTCTGGAGAAAGTGCCAACACAACAGCCATCATGTGAAGTGATAGAAAAGATTACTTATGGCAGCGTTGTTTGTGTTAGTTGCTACAGAATTGCATGCATGGATAAACGTATTTTATATGATTTGATAGTTAAAACACCAAGCTTCTGGTAGATTCTTGGCAACAATTGATAAAAATGTAAGTTACCTATGCAAGACTTTCCTTGTTGTGACATTCAGATATGTGTATAGGAAGTGAAGCTATGTGATACTAAAAGTTTGCTTAGGATCATTTCCCCTAATCATGATTTAGCATGGGGTGAAGAAGTAAGATGTGTTTGAATGTAACTTTTTGTAAGCATTATAAATGTTTTTTTCTGTTTTAGCTCAAGGACAATTATCAATCAAGC